ATGATGCTGAAAATTTAGCTTTGATCACAGGAATAAATGTTATTCACACACACAAATATGTGATTTTGAGACCATATGAGAAATATGTTATTCACAACAAAAAAAAATCACAATTATTGCTTTTATTGCATTTTTTATTAAATAATTGCAGCTTTGGTGAGCAGAAGAGACTCAAAAACATACAAAAATCTGACCAACCTCAATCTTTTGAATGGTAGTGTAAAATTAATCTATTATTTAAGGTCAATTATTGTTGATTAGGATGCTGATCATTGTTAAAATAAAAACTGGGTCACACTTTAGATTAGGGTCCAATTCTCACTATTAACGACTTGCCTCAATCAACTCCTAATAACTGCTTATTAATAGTTAGTAGTTCTTAAAGGGATAGTTCACTTTGAAATTAATATTTGATATGTTTTATCTTACCTCAAGGGCATCCAAGATGTAGGTGTCTTTGTTTCCGCAGTATTTTCAATTTTGATATTTTTAGGTCAAACCGTTCTTGTCTGTCAGTCATATAATGGAGGTCTATGGTCACCACCTCAAAGAGCATGCACAGAGAAGTCCAGATTAAACATGATTTAATGACTCGTAAATGTAAGTACACATTGATGGCCTAAGACACGAAACGAGCGTTTTGTGTGAGAAAACGAACAGTATTTATATCGTTTTTACCTCTTGTTGGACGTGGCTGTGGTTACAAGAGGTAAAAACAATATAAATACTGTTCGTTTTTTCACACAAACCGCTCGTTTCGTGTCTTAGGCCATCAATGTGTACTTACATTTACGAGTCATTAAATCATGTTTAATCTGGACTTCTCTGTGCATGCTCTTTGAGGTGGTGACCATAGACCTCCATTATATGACTGACAGACACGAACGGTTTGACCTAAAAATATCAAAATTGAAAATACTGTGGAAACAAAGACACCATCTTGGATGCCCTTGAGGTAAGATAAAACATACCAAAAATTAATTTCAAAGTGAACTATCCCTTTAAGTTTAGGCATTGGGTGATTTAGAAAATGATAATGCAGAATAAGGCAATCAGTCAATATCCTAGCATGCATGCTAATAAACAACTAGTTAATAGTGGGAATTGGGCCCTAAACTAAAGTGTTACCAAAAAATGTATACCTTTATACTTTCGCGTTCGTTTTCTTTCCCTCATCCCTGTTTTCCTTCCTCACGCGCGGTTGTTGGATCACAGTCGTCTCTCTCCTTCTCGTTGTCAGGATAACGTGTTAACGCGCAGCCCTGTTGCTTTAACACATGTGGAGCGAATGGGGGCGACCTGTGGAGGAAACTCGCTGTGAACAGCGGTGTGTGTGACTGCGAACACACAGACTCTGTCAGGTGGAGGGTGAATAACGTGCTAACGACTTAAACCAGCGGAGAGCGAGTGTGAGGACAGTCGCCGAGAGCCCGGCGCGTTTTGCAGGACGGAGGCAGTGGAGTAAGAAAACACACCGTCGATCTGTATCTAGGCCAGACTGAGAACAGCGAAGGTCCTCGGGGAGGTAAACATGCAACTCCACTCGCCCTACAACAACAGCCAGTGAAGCTGACACAACACACACCTGCCATGCACAGTATTATACAACCTGGCAATGAATCAGGACCGAAATTTATTGTAAATATGTCAAATCTGATTGTGTCTTGGTCTTATTGTAATGGATTCATAATCACGCTTGCGCTATCTAAAAGCTGTAGTCAATCATTTTATCCCTATTATCACTAAAATGACATATTTAAACATTTTATCCTTGAAAAAAAAAAACATTAAAATATTGTGAATGTAACCCGACACCCTTGCCTCATTTAGTATGCACAGGCTATGAATATGCAGATGAGCCCCGCCTCCACTCACTCACTCAGAGATCCACTGGTTGACGATTGACATTGATCTGATTGGTTACAAGCTCGTTTTAGCGATTACATGTTTTTGAGACTTTGGTTCACTGCAGTTTTAAGGAGGAAATACTCAGTCGACTATTGAACTTGCACGTTTTGTCTTGATTCTCACCACAGGGAGACTTTAAAGGAGTAGTTCACTTTAAAGAAACTTTTGCTTATAATTTACTCACCCCCATGTCATCCAAGATGTCCACGTCTTTCTTTCTTCAGTCGAAAAGAAATGAAGGTTTTTGATGAAAACATTCCAGGATTTTTCTCCATATAATGGACTTCAATGGGGACCAAACGGTTCAAGGTCCAAAAGACGGTTTCAGTGCAAACTACAAACTGTTCAAATGGCTTTAAACGATTCCAGACGATGAATAAGGGTCTTATCAAGCGAAACAATTTTTAAAAAAAGAAGCAAAATTTAAGTTTTATAAGCTTAAATGGTCGCCTTGCTCTGTTCTATGATGCGCGTTCGTGACTCCCCTGTTCAAACTCGTTCATCAAAATGAGTGAATCTTTTCCCGAGTCAACTCGTTCATTTTGTTCGTTGAATGAACCAAATGACACGAAAAAGATTTGTATATTTTGATGAACGAGTTCGAACAGGAGAGTCACGAACGCGCATCACAGAACAGAGCAAGGCGAGCATTTGAGCTTATAAAACTTAAACTTTGTTATTTATTTATTAAATGAGCGATCGTTTCGCTTGATAAGACCCTTATTCATCGTCTGGAATCGTTTAAAGCCCTTTGAACAGTTTGTAGTTTGCACTGAAACTGTCTTTTGGACCTTGAACCGTTTGGACCCCATTGAAGTCCATTATATAGAGAAAATCCTGGAATGTTTTCATCAAAAACCTGGACATCTTGGATGACATGGGGGTGAGTAAATTATCAGCAAAGGTTTTTTTTTAAGTGAACTACTCCTTTAAGCAATTGTTTTAGGCTGGTGTTGTAGGTAATGGGATTAATGATGATGTGAAAACGAAAGATTTCCATTGGTATTCGTGAAGATGCTCTTTAGCCGTCATGTTCCAGTCAGCCTCCTATTGAACACTGATTTACACCATCCAATCAATTCCCAATGGATGAAATCAAGTCCTGTCCTGCATCTTTTCTTTCTCATTAAGGAAATAAAATCAATTTCCATCAGCGTTTCATGTTCACTTTAAAGGAACCTTTTGCATAAACATGAAAGTTCTTCTTTACGTGCCCTCGTGTTGTTGCAAACCCATAAACATAATTGCTTGGAGAAATTTCAGAGAATCTTTATGCAAAAAAAAACTCCAAATGAGCATAAAAATAGTCCTTTTGACATGTTTGTCTCCTCATAAGTTATACGACACATGTCACATTTAGATGAAACTAAGATCAAATGTGTGCATTTCAGGTGTTTTTTCTGTAATCTGTGTGTTATTGTTTCCTAGTGAATTTTAAACACACGTATATAGAGATACACAGCCAGTGTGAGAGAGGCAGAGAGATGAGGGCTGAATTCAGTGAGGCCGCAGGGCACGGTTTTATTATCTGACACACGGTGCTTCACAATGTGTGTGCGTGTGTGTGTTCCCGTGTTTCACGTAGATTACAGCACAAAGCTTCTATGATCTCAGCAGCTGCGAGTGTGTAAATCAGTTTTATTGTAGTGAAGAGAGAAAGAGATCAGCATCCCTACATCGGGGTTAAATAGAAGAATCTCAAACACGCTGCTAAGCACTCGCTGGGGTCTTCTGGGTAGTTGTTGGACTGTTTCTGACTGGACCAATTCAAAGGTGCCAATTCTGAGTTTTATTGTGGTTCCAGGATACATGTGAGTGGTTGCTAAGGTGTTGCTATGCAGTTCTGATGTTCTGAGTAGTTGCTAGGATGTACTAGAGAGTTTTGTTAAGGTGTTGCTGTGCATTTTTTAGGGCATTTCTTGATGGTCATTTTAGAAATTTAGAAATTTAGAAATTTGAAATTTAGGGCATTTCTTAGGGCATTTTTTGTGGTGTCATGATACGTGTGGGTGGTTGCTAAGGTGTTGCTATGCAGTGTTCTGATGTACTAGACAGTTTTGTTTGGGTGTTTCTGAGCATTTTTTTAGGGCATTTCTTAGTGGTATCTTGGGTGTTTTAACGTTTTCAGGGGCATTGTTAAGGTGTTGCTGGGGTCTTCTGGGTGGTTGCTTGGTAGTTTCTTACTTCCCAATTCAAAAATAAGTTTTGTTGTGCCAGGATACTTGTCGGTGGTTGCTAAGGTGTTGCTATGCAGTGTTCTGAGTAGTTGCTACAGTTTTGTTAGGGTGTTGTGGAAGGTTGTCGGGGTGTTGCTGTGCATTTTTTTTTGGGTCATTTCTTGGTGGTATCTAGGGTGTTTTCCAGGTCGTTGTTAAGGTGTTACTATGGTCTTCTGGGTGGTTGCTAGGTAGTTTCTTACTTCCAATACAAAAATGGAGGTTAGGGTTGGGATACATGTGGGTGGCTGCTAGGGTGTTGCAATGCGGTGTTCTGAGAAGTTGCTGCGGATGTTGGAGAAGGTTGCAAGGACGTTGCTGTGCAGTTGATAGGGTGTTCTGGGTAGTTGTATTTCTTGTTGGTATTTAGAGTGTTCAAAGTGTTTTCTGGGTAATTGCTAGATAGTTGTTTCTGACTGGACCAATTCAAAGGGTTTTTTTTTTGTGTGGTTCCAGGATACATGTGAGTGGTTGCTAAGGCGTTGCTATGCAGTGTCTAGTACATCTTAGAAACTACTTAGAACAGTGCATAGCAACACCCTAGTAACCACCCACATGTATCCTAACCCTAACCTCCATTTTTGTATTTTGTAAGAAAGAAACTACCAAGCAACCACCCAGAAGACCATGGCAACACCTTAACAACGACCTGGAAAACACTTAAAACTGTCTAGTACATCCTAGAAACTACTCAGAACAGTTTTGTTAGGGTGTTGTGGAAGGTTGCCAGGGTGTTGCTGTGCATTTTTTAGGGCATTTCTTGGTGGTATCTAGGGTGTTTTAAGTGTTTTCCAGGTCGTTGTTAAGGTGTTGCTATGTTCTTCTGGGTGGTTGCTTGGTAGTTTCTTTCTTCCAATACAAAAATGGAGGTTAGGACACATGTGGGTGGTTGCTAGGGTGTTGCTATGCGGTGTTTGCTGAGATGTTAAGGAAGGTTGCCAGGGCTTTTCTGTGCAGTTGCTAGGGTGTTCTAGGTACTTGCATTTCTTGTTGGTATCTAGAGTGTCCTAGGTGTGAGTGGTTACTAGGGAGTCGCCATGTGGTTGCTAGGTAGACTTTCTAGCCTGCGTCAAAACAGCTCGTCCCCAAATTTTGTTTCCACATGCAAGTGTTTTATGACAGGTTGTCAAGGTGTGGTGTACAACTTGTTATAAGTACAAGTGTACTTGTTAAGCTGTTGTTAGGGGGTTGCTAGGGTATTCAGAGTAGATGTCCAAAAAGTCAAAAACCAAAATACCAAACAGCTAATGGTGATTTTAGGAGGGTTTTGGGTACATATCAGGCAAAACCAGCTAGCCCTAAACAGAGAGGACTGTGGGTTTATGTGCAAGTAAGTGAAATTTGTTGGTAGGCAGATTGTCTTTGCACAAACAACTGTATCCTGACAGCATGCGTGAACGCAATAATAATGTCCTAATCCAGATCTGTAAATCTCCGGGAGTGTTAGCGCGTGGGTCATGCTGACGAGCGTTTACATATGGAGCGCTGCGGAGCGTCTTTTCTCCTTGATAAATGATTCTGTGAGTGAAAATGCTGAGTTAACTGTACAGATTCCTCTCTGCGCCGTTCACCTTGAATAAGGATGTGCACGGCATCTATTTATGTCCCAGCGTGCGCTGCCGTTTCTCAGCTCAATTCTTCCGCTTTTGTTCAACAAACAAAAGCTTACAGACACGTAATGTTTTGTAGAAATCCACCATACCGGTGAACTCTGGCTAATCTCCGTAAGAATGAGTTATTCTGCAATCCTCGACGTCTGAATGCGAGCACACGGATCATTAGGTCAGTGTTTTCACCTGGTTAAGCTGCAGTCTTATAAAACTTAAACTTTGTTATTTATTTATTAAATGAGCGATCGTTTCGCTTGATAAGACCCTAATTCATCGTCTGGAATCGTTTAAAGCCCTTTGAACAGTTTGCACTGAAACTGTCTTTTGGATCTTGAACCGTTTGGACCCCATTGAAGTCCATTATATGGAGAAAAATCCTGGAATGTTTTCATCAAAAACCTTCATTTCTTTTCGACTGAAGAAAGAAAGACGTGGACATCTTGGATGACATGGGGGCGAGTAAATTATCAGCAAATGTGCACGTTTATGGTTAGACATTTGTTCTTTTTAGAGTTTAACTGTACAAATCACCACCCAATTTCCTTATATTGAAAAAGTTGTTCAGACATTCAGCCTGACATCTCAAAGAAAATTACACAATGTTCATTTTTGCTAGTATTAAGAGCAGGAAGTTTAATAGCCCGACACTCGGCGTTTCAATATTTGCTGATTGTGTTATGTGAAACATGCACATGCTTCTTCTTAATGGTTTTAATGATTCATTCTCCTCCGAAAGGGAAGAGGAGCCGAACTCGAGCCCTTGTCAGGAGATCTCGTGTCTCCTCGGAGAGAGGACACCGGGTCACAGGATCCTCGGCTCTGCCAGACGCAGTCAACAGATGCAAATCCTCTGAATAGGCCTCATTAGCACTTAGCACTTACAACCAGACCAGATGTCACGCCAAACCTATTTTCATACAAATCCAGCTAATTAATTCCTGAAAAAACCTGCTGCTCCTTCAGGGAGACGAGGGAGAAATGGCACCATGAATCGTAGGGCCTATTTAAATTCCCGTTTCCTCGAGGAGAGGAGCGCACCATTCATAATCTGGTTTGTCGGGATTAAAGAGAAAAGGGGAAATCACCATCACAATGGGGAAAACTGTCGCACGTCTTTCCTGCGCTCATGAAATATGAAAAGGCGAGTCGGGCGCTCGCGACACGCAGGACTTTGCTCTGAAACGCTTGCCAAGAGTTAATCAACTGCAAAGCAAAATTAATATGAATTATCCATACTTTGCATGGGAATCTATATCCATCAACGTGTGCAATGCACTTTAATCCAGCTGTAGAAACCAGTTCCTGAAGGAATTAGCCGACTTTTTGTTCGTTTTTTTAAAAGACCAAATATTGTTTTATCGTCTCCCAAGCAAAAATCACAAATTTATTCCTCTTGTAACTATTACTGTTGTTTATATTGTCTATGTACATAATAATCTTGAGGCAGTAAGAAAACACCACCCGTGTGACCATAGCAAAAAATCAAGAATTGTACCAAAAACTGGTCGAAATTTACTGTAAAAAAAATACGGTAGCAACATTTTAGGTTTTTACAGACTTTAGAGTCAAAAGACATCCTTCCAGCCCGTTCTCAAACCAAGGCGTCATATACTGACGCTTTTGCCAATGCGTAGACATCCAACATGGCACATATGAGACGCAGCTATATATGTGCCATAAGGCGCCTCCTAGTGGTCTAACCCTAACCCTACACCAGAACTAAACCTACCCATAACCGAAGCGTGTTATATTGACGCTAAAGGGTGCCATGTGTGTTGGAGTGTCAGTATATGACGCCTTGGGATGAGAATGCTTTGGTATGACCATAGCAACATCCTAGAAACATTTTACCCTGCGTAGTAACGCCCTGGCAACCAGTGAGTTTTTCATGCCCAACCACGACGCACTGTAGAGATCGTTCTCACATTACAGTGAATACGAGTTGTGGAGCACAATAACATTCAAATCTTAAAACTCAACATTCAGGACATGAGTGTGTCATAATAAAGGCTTCAGGGGCAAAAACACTTGATCCTCAGACTAAACACCTGTTAGCTGATGCTTTTACCCTAAACGAACCTCTTCTGTTTTTACACACTGCATTAGACAGTCCATTTAGAGCTGTGCCAACACAATTTGACATAAAGCCATTTCAGAATACGCGCAGATGCATTATTAGGATTGTGGTTATTGTATCTCCTCGTCCTCATGACGCAGACACACTTTCGTAGTGAGAAACCTTTTTAAGGACCACTGGCTTTTACAATTAGATGTATAAGCCATAGAAAAAGCGAAATGAACAAAAAAAATCAATTTGTTGAATCATAGAGGCCATTTTTCTCTGAGCAGGAACGTCTGGGATGATCAGTTGAGTGTTTCAGTTGATGAATATTCTGCACTTCATTAGACATGCTGACTTTCACTCGACTCTTACCTGACCCGGACACATGCAAACTTTACACAAGTATACAGACGTGAATGCTTGCTCGACGCATTCCTACGTCATGAACAACTCCAAGGTCATGGGTTTGATTCCCAGCAAATGAATGCATCTTGTCCTTAAGTTAGATCTTGTACATTTCCCCTCATATTTAGGCATTTTTTCTGCAGTCTTTTTACAGAATGTGAAATTGAAGCAGGAGCACATCTTGTGTTTTAACCGTCTTATGTACAATCATGTGATAAACAGATCAGATTCATGTACATTTAAAGGAGTAGTTCACTTTTGAAAAAACTTTTGCTGATAATTCACTCACCCCCATGTCATCCAAGATGTCCATGTCTTTCTTTCTTGAGTCGAAAAGAAATGAAGGTTTTTAATGAAAACATTCCAGGATTTTTCTCCATATAATGGACTTAAATGGGGACCAAACGGTTCAAGGTCCAAAAGACAGTTACAGTGCAAACTACAAACTGTTCAAAGGGCTTTAAACGATTCCAGACGATGAATAAGGGTCTTATCAAGCGAAACGATCGCTCATTTAATAAATAAATAACAAAGTTTAAGTTTTATAAGCTCAAATGCTCGCCTTGCTCTGCTCTGTGATGCACGTTTGTGACTCTCTTGTTCGAACTCGTTCATCAAGTCTCTTTCTGAGTCAATTCATTCATTTGGTTCGTTTTAATGAACCAATTGACTCGGAAATTTTGTAAATTTTGATGAATGAGTTCGAACGCGCATCACAGAACAGAGCAAGGTGACCATTTGAGCTTATAAAACATAAACTTTGTTATTTATTTTTTAAATGAGCAATCGTTTCGCTTGATAAGACCCTTATTCATCGTCTGGAATCGTTTAAAGCCCTTTGAACAGTTTGTAGTTTGCACTGAAACTGTCTTTTGGACCTTGAACCGTTTGGTTCCCATTGAAGTCCATTATATGGAGAAAAATCCTGGAATGTTTTCATCAAAAACCTTCATTTCTTTTCGACTGAAGAAAGAAAGACATGGACATCTTGGATGACATGGGGGTGAGTAAATTATCAGCAAAAGTTTTTCAAAAGTGAAGTAAGGATTTAAAATCATAAACATTGTGCTGGACGTTGCTTTAACATCCAACAGGAAACACTTATTGATAAAATAACAAACTGCAGTTGAGGAAATGCTTTAAAAATTAAATTCATTAAAGATTTTTTTTCTCATTGGGAAAATCCCCTCTGTAGTTTCATAAGAGATCTCACAAGTCTGCGATTCATTGAAAACCAGAGATGTCAAACATTATTCCAAGAGCAAATAATCGGAGCTGTTAAATGTCTAAAATTAACGGTCTATTTTTATTCCTTTGTAGAAGAGAGGAACGAGAGACTGACTGAAGTCTCCTGAGGTGAAAGAGCAAAACAAACGTCTGGCTGACATGCATGGAAGAGTAATACCAGACCTTAAAGAGGAGACAGAAGATGGTGCAAGTGAAATATATTGAGAAAAGGACGTGGTTTTAATGAATGTGAGTGAGGTAAACGGGTTGGTGTGTGTTGCGCTCCAGACACGATTAGCTTCATGGCTCTGGGCAAACATGGCATGCTGATGCTCATCACCAATCTCATTCACGTCGTTCCCGGCGTCTCTTTCTTCGTATCCGTCCGCACCGGCCCGCCGGCGGAGTCGAGTCCGTCCACACTGATACGCTTTAATGTCTCCAGCCTCGCCTCTGCTCGGAGAAGGACATTAACACACACCTCTGGCTGATTTGCTTAATTTCTGTAAATGAGGCCTTTGGTCTCTGGAGTGACTTGGTGAAGTGGATGGTAATATTTTATAATATTGTCTGGTGCCGCTGGACGAGTGAGAGAGGATTCAGCCGGTGACTCGAGAACATGAACTGATCTAACACAGAACACCAGAGGAACGGGTCATGACACAGCACTTCCAGAACAACCATCAACACACACCACATCAATGATGGGAACTGTGGATGGATGGAAAGATGAACTGATAGAACGATACATAAACAGACAGATAGACAGATAGATAGATAGATAGATAGATAGATAGATAGATAGATAGATAGATAGATAGATAGATAGATAGATAGATAAATAGATAGATAGATAGATAGATAGATAGATAGATAGATAGATAGATAGATAGATAGATAGATAGATAGATAGATAGAAATCTAGATAGATAGAAATCTAGATAAATAGATAGATAGATAGATAGATAGATAGATAGACAAACGGAACAATAGATAGATAGATAGATAGATAGATAGATACAGTCATAGACACAGTAGATAGATAGATAGATAGATAGATAGATAGATAGATAGATAGATAGATAGATAGATAGATAGATACAGTCATAGACACAGTAGATAGATAGATAGATAGATAGATCGATAGATAGATAGATAGATAGATAGATAGATAGATAGATAGATAGATAGATAGATAGATAGATAGATAGATAGATAGATAGATAGATAGATAGATAGAGTCATAGACACAGTAGATAGATATAACGATAGATAGACAGACGGAACAATAGATAGATAGTTAGACAGGCAGCTAAATAGATAGATAGATAGAACGATAGATAGAACGATAGGATGATAGACAGACAGATAGAAAGATAGATAGATAGATAGATAGATAGATAGATAGATAGATACAGTCATAGACACAGTAGATAGATATAACGATAGATAGACAGACGGAACAATAGATAGATAGATAGATAGACAGGCAGCTAGATAGATAGATAGATAGATAGAACGATAGATAGATAGAATGATAGGATGATAGACAGACAGATAGATAGATAGATAGATAGATAGATAGACAGCTAGAAAGATAGATAGATAGATAGAACGATAGACAGATAGATAGATAGATAGATGATAGATAGATAGATAGATAGATGGAACGATAGATAGATAGATAGATAGATAGATAGATAGAGTCTCAGTTTCTGCTTCACATGCTTGTTTATTCTTCCCTTGTCTTCTCTCTCTCTCTCTCTCTCTGTCTCTCTGTCTGTCTCTCGCCCTCCTTGTTTCCTGTTTTGTCTCCTGCTGTCTGTGTCTTTCATCAGGTGTTGTCTTTGATCCGTCGCAGATCTCTCTTCATCATCTCTTCATCTGTCACTCATGGCGGTGTCGGGTCAGCGCCGCAGCAGAACCGGATCCTCCAGGACTCTTCCAGTCAATCACGGCGTTAGAAGCTTCCCGACACTTCGTCAAACCGCCGGTCCTGAAGAAGCCTTGCCGCGCGTTTGTAAGTCCAAGTGCTTATGGAACGACTTTTAAAACTATACACAACACACAACAGCATCTTGAAACTCAGCTGTCTGACAGCACAGCTTGTTGACATGCGCCGGCTTCAAAGATAAAACTAAACCAGCTCACGTGTGATGAACTGAACCCAACGAGAGGTTCAAGAGATGATGCATTCTTCTCACATCCTCCGTCTCATCTGCAGGTCATCCTCAAGAAGGAGAATCACACAAAAGATGCTATGTGCATTATCTAAAAGTGATTTTATACAGCCTAAACTCATATTGATCACACACAGCGATAATAAAGCATGCTTTGCTGAGCGAATAAATGACAGAGAGTATCAATATAGGAGGTTGAGGACAGAATCATAACCATAACTCTGGCTTCAGACATTATTAGATGATCAAGATGAGAAATTAATGCAGCCACTATTATTCCTCAGAGGATAGTTCACTCAAAAATTAAATCTCACCTGTTGCTCCAAACCTGTAAATGTTTCTTTAAAGGAGAACTCCAGTCAATTTTAACATTGAGCTCATTTTTTTGTACCGTGGTCACTCTTAATAACACCACTCACATGGCTGTGCACTCGTAATGACAAATCAAGGATGTTAAAGGATTACTTCACTTTTGAAAAAACGTTTGCTGATATATTGTTCAAGGAACATTTTTTTTCCAGATGAATATTCATAATTTAAAAATTTTTTATACTTGCTTTTATAGATGTTCATTGAACATTGTTTGCGTAGTGATGAAATGGAATGTTTCCACTGAAGGGGACCCGTCATGCTTTATTTTGTTATTTGTTTACATGCTCCTTCTTTAAAGAAGTAGTTCTTTTGAAAAAACGTTTGCTGATAATTTACTCACCCCCATGTCATCCGAGATGTCCATGTCTTTCTTTCTTCAGTCGAAAAGAAATTAAGGTTTTTGATGAAAACATTCCAGGATTTTTCTCCATATAATGGACTTCAATGGGAACCAAACGGTTCAAGGTCCAAAAGACAGTTTCAGTGCAGCTTCAAATGGCTTTAAACGACACCAGACGATGAATAAGGGTCTTATCATGCGGAACGATCGGTTATTTCAAAACTGTAACTTTTTTAAGGACAAATGCTAGTCTTGCTCTATTCTGTGAGGCGCGTTTGTAACGTCACGTAATACGTAATTACGTTCAAAAGGTCATGGGCGACGTAGCCGGAAGTACAGAGTCAAAATCGTCCGACATCGTTGTTTTACCTTTTAATTCCTTTTTTTGTAAACGGCGTTTGAGTTAGTTTGCACGTGCGTTCAACTTGTAAACACTGATTCTGTACTTCCGGCTACGTGACCTTTTGACCTACGTGACCTTTTGAACGTAATTACGTATTACGTGACGTTACAAACGCGCCTCACAGAATAGAGCAAGGCTAGCATTTTTGTAGGCAACACCGATTTTTGTAGTTTTTGTCTGGACTGACAGCACTCCAAATGTACAAAAAAATGAGCTCAACGTTAAAATTGACCAGAGTTCTTCTTTAAAATAAAATTAAAAAAATGTCCATACAGTAGAAGTCCATTCTATGATAGGGTATTAACTGGAATCTCATTAAGGTATAAAGGTACAACTTGCGTGTTATTTGAAGTGAGAACATTTTGAGCTAACATAAAATGTTTAATTTGATTTATTTGTAGTGTTGACAACATTCAACAGGCTCGGCTATTCAAACATATACCAATACTATATCATTTTATCAATTTAGATGACATTTTTTATGTATTCCTTTATAAAGTCTTTTTTTTTATATCAAATAATGCAGATAGGTATTTATTTATTTTTGTATTATTTTATTTTACTATTTATTTATTTTATTTGATATGTCCCATTGTATAATTTTGGATATGGTAAAAAAAAAAAAATATATATATATATATATATTGTGTTCCACAGAGAAAATTCAGGCGGTTTGGAAAATAAAAATAGAAAAGAAACGACTAGCCTACTAATATTTGCTGGTAAACAAACATCTTAAATAATCTAGTCCCACACCTAGACTTGCATCAGACCAGCAATAACCAGCATATCTCTCTCTCTCTCTCTCTCTCTCTCTCTGTCTCTCTCTCTGTCTCTGTGAAGCTCTGCGCGGGTGACACTCGTCAAACGGCTGTCATTGTTCATATCTCACGGAGAGGTGAGAGCGTTACACAAACAAGCTGTGACACGACATGGCCGGTGTTAAGTGACAGTGTGTGATCCTCCGTCTGAGAACACGACCTTCTCCAGCGGTTCGGCCTGTAATAAGACTGACCCCTCGCTGTCATGTACTGTGGAGAGATTCACCCGCAGCCCGCTGGAGAAAGATGGAAACGTCACTCAAAACCGTTCAGTCCATACTGAGCAAGTTCATTCCAAGAATACGGCACAAACCGGCCAGCAACTAAAGTTTGAAGACACAAATGTAAAATGGGACATGTTTTAAATAGTGTCTGTTGATGACAGCATTCAGCAAGCTCAACTGTTCAACCAGGTGCCATTTCATTTAAAAAATGTTATTATGGATGAAAATGTTGGCTGATACCGATAATGTTTTATATTTGAAAGCCGATAACCGATATGTCGATAAATCTAAATCCAAAATTTGTAACTAATTTTGGAGAGCCTGATTACAAATATATCGAACAAATTTTCACAAAAAAAATCGGAATATATCGGACAAATTTTCTTATCAGGCCGATAACGATAAAATTAAAAATCAACATATATATCGCCCGATACCGATAATGTTTTATATTTGAAAGCCGATAACCGATATATCGATCTAATTTTGGCGAAGCTGACTACAAAAACAAAAGTCTCACCATTAAAAGCCATGTCCCAAACACACAAATTTATAAACCGTTTATATAATTGTATGTTGCCGATATAACCGTATTTTCCTTTTTTGAAGTGATTCCAGTCATATTTCAATTTAAAACCATCGTGGTGAATCTGAAGAGTCTCAGCTAAAGGAAATAATCATTAATTATCAGCATTAATATATTGGACAAATTTTCTCATCGGGCCGATAACGATAAAATTAAAAATGAACATATATCTAACGATAATGTTTTATATTTGAAAGCCGATAACCAATATATCGATCTAATTTTGGCGAAGCTGACTACAAAAACAAAAGTCTCACCATTAAAAGCCATGTCCCAAACACACAATTATATATACCGTTTCTACAATTGTATGTCGCCGATATTACACACGTGCGCTGCTCATGTTGCTCTGAACCGTATTTTCTTTTTTTGTGATTTCAGTCACATTTCAAGCCATTTAAAACCATCATGGTGAATCTGAAGAGTCTCAGCTGAAGGAAATAATCCATAAGTTATCGGCTTTAATATATCGGACAAATTTTCTTATCGGGCCGATAACGATAAAATTAAAAATTAACATATATCGCCCGATATAGTGACGGATATATATACCGTGCATCCCTAATTAGTATAATTTACGTAATTTTTACGTAGATTTAGTGATTTTAGATGTAATGTTCCAAAAATCTTCCTTTATAGAATCTTA